CCGTCCCCTCAATGGTGTTGTACGGCTACACCCGTGCCGTCAGCCGTACCGTCGTATCAAACCTTCGAGGCTCTGACGGTACGGTGACGGGTGCCGTCCGTTCCGTACCGTGTAGCCGTATATACGGCAGACGGTGCCCAGCCCTAAGTATACGTAATCCAAATTCAACAAAATCGGTGATAACCGCGGCTGGCCCGGTGGAGTTTGTCCAGTGGATTTGCATTCTTGAACCTCTTCTATGTACGCAAGTACCCGGTCTGTTTGAAGTGGAGAAAATTTAGAGAGAAAAAAGTAGCCACGGCCCAGGATACAGCACGGCTGATGAGTTCAGACCCTAGTTCACACTTCTAACGTTCGGGCCATGAAGCAAAGGGAATACATATTTAGGTCATGCTAGTAGTCATAAATCATAGATCCATACTATGTATCCATACTTAGGAAAATGTTCTGCTCAATGCAACCACCAGCTTCACTACGTCATCACCTGAAGGTCTGGACGAGCTTTGCTTATCTCGCGTATAAACACGGGGTGCCACCCCTTCGCTGTTTCCATGTCTCGCGACGGAGCTCTTAACTCCAATACCAAAAATAGCCCAAAATGCTGTAGCCGCGGCAGCCACGATTTATCAGTCACACAAGTCGTCCATTGGAAGCACGAATCCTTATCCACGTCCTGCTCGGCGAAGGCAACAATTAATTTGCGCAGGGTAGTGCAGCCGGAGAGGGTGGCGAAGAATTTTTGCCTGGGCGGCTGGCGGGCAACCGGCGAGGTCAATGTGCGCAGAGCAAGGTGCTCCAGCTGCTGTGCGAACCCATAATTCTCCTCGCACATAGTGACGAAGGTCTTCAGCGCCTCCGGGTGGTGGATAAACAGGCCCCTGACGCTGCCGAACAGCTTGGGGGTTCCGTACTTGACGTTGTAGCGCAACTTCGTGACAGGAGCCCCGTCTTGGCGGTTGGTGTTGACAATGAAAGGGCGGCTAGGCAGGTGCGTCGGCTCTCTGATGTTAGGGTTGCAGCTTCCGAGGAAGATATGCAGCTCGCGAGGGCGTAGGTTCTCGAGCGCAGCCCAGATATTCGAGTGTATGCGTTCGGCGTTGTAACCGATCATGATGCGGTCGATGCGAGGCAGCCCGTTTGTGCCGTCCGCAAGAGCAATGCGCTCGAGGCCCTTCAAGAACATTTCGCCGTTTACCCTGGGGTCGTTCTTGCCAGTATACATATCGACGAGGAATGTGTGTTGCCCTTTCCCGAAGGGAACGTAGCTGGGGTCAGTCGTATTGGGAAGCTGATAGTTTATCGCTGAGTGTGCGAAACTGAACCAGGTAAGAAGCATTGTTGGAGAGAAGTAGACAGAGGGAGGTAGAGCTGCTGCTGGTTGAGTAGATTTCTGGTAGTGTTGCTCAAGTAAAATCGGTATTTATACAACTGCAAGTAGATATCTAAGGTCAAAGAATATCAGTGTCAAACCAGAGGGCCATGTCAGAGCCGATGGACTTCTACATTCTTCGAAGCTCAAGAGGGACAAAAGCCTGCTTGGGGGGTGACCACGTCAAAGCAACAGTGACTGGCCAGACCATACGGACAAAAGTAAGCCTGGCTCAAGAAGGCCAATTTTTGACCACAATGGCCCACCATAGACAGACGCAGGACCCGAAGCTTCAACTTGAAGCTGGAAGTTTGAAGGCCATGATCATATCGGGATTCGGACCTGATCGGACGGTGACTCGATGAGAACAAGATCGGAGATTGAACCACGCGGGCCGTGGCATATCATCAACCCGTCCCGACTCCCGCAGTCGCTAAAGTACTTACTGACAGCGATCAAATACTCCTTATAGGATCTACATAAATTCGTAGCGGCGCCAGCGCCAGTCGGTCCAGTCCCCGACTATGATCATCACGATACGCTGCCGGCCTTTTGGACTCCAAGAATTACTGAAATTAGACCTGAAACTCGAGGATCGCCATTATCGCTCGGGGAACAAGTTGTAGCGTACGCAGCAGCCTCCCTCTTAGCTCAGTGGTAGAGCGCGTCACTAGTATGCTGTGGTACACATGACGAGGTCAGTCGTTCAAGTCGGCTAGAGGGAAATAATAGAATTGTAAACTAGACCACTTTTTTTTTAGCTTTATCTCCCAGTATGGTAGTGAAATATCAGGGAAACCATTATGTCCTCCAGATTGAAAAGTTGAAACTCCTCGCACATTAATCTTTGAACCAAGGCTGCGTAAAATGCGCGCGAAACAAGGCAAGAATTCGGAGATACCCATACGCGGGCTATAGACAAGGGGCTGGCCACTGCCAGCAATCCCCCTTAGCTCAGTGGTAGAGCGCATCACTCGTATTATGGTAGCATAACACATGATGAGGTCAGTCGTTCAAGTCGGCTAGGGGGAATTTTCTGATCCTCTAGTGATATACAACATCGTTTCGCTGCCACCAAGCGGGAAGTACGTGCGACAGGTACAATGAAGGAAAGAAAAACCACGATTTTATTCCCTCTTAGCTCAGTGGTAGAGCGCGTCACTAGTACATGTACATGACGAGGTCAGTCGGCTAGAGGGAACTTAAGTGGATAATCGATTCAATTTTTGAATGTGCATTGTGATCTACAGTGCGTGTTTGCGTCAGATTTTATTTTATACTCCGAACAGGATAGGATTTGTGTATGTCTATCGAGTAATTTACAATCAGGGAAATTCTACAAAGCTACTAGCAAGAGGATACAGATACAAGGAATAAACACATCTGATGGGATCTCATACAATATACTAGCGGGAACAAGTATGGAAGCTTGTAGAGCGAGTGCGTCACTGTCTATCACCCAGATTCATAACCTGACTCTCCGATCCCGCAAGCCCACAGCCGCTCCTCGAGCTCTTGCTCTTCCCCTCACCACACGGGGCTCTCTCAATATACCGCGCTTCCGAAACCCTAAAAACCACTCCCCAGCGCGTATCGCAGCCTCGACCAGGACCAGGTCGCGCACGAGCAGCGCCCAGAACAAGATTACGCGCTGCGTGTCCGCGTCAAAGAACGCGCGCACGAGCGCCGCGGTGCGCGCAAACGCCGAGTCGTCTGACTCGTTTACGATCCCCTTCCTCCTTACATTCGCGTTTGCGCGGGCCGGGTTTGGGGCGGCCGCCTGGGCACGCGGTGGGTGCCCGACGGGTGCGGCTGCCAGTGGGGCTTGATATAGCACGAGCCTGTACGTGCTGTACACGAGGTGCACTATTAGCAGGCAGGGGGCGAGCCATTCAGGAAGGGCGCGCTTTCTCTCTTTCCCTAAGAGTGTGAAGAGTAGGGCCGGGACGGCGGGTGTGTGTGTGAAGTGGAGTACGAGGGTGCGTATAAGCGGGCCGGGAATAAACCTAGCGGCTCCCTTGGGAGGGTGGTGAGTATTTCCGGCTGGGCGGGGAGGAAGAGGAGGGAGGGGGCGCGGGCGAGGGTCGATAGCCATGATCTCTATTGGAGCGCGAGCTCGGCGGGGCAGAGCGCGTTGGGCGTGCGAGGTGGGCGATGAGGGTGGGGAGTGCAGGTTTGGGGGCGGGATACGGTACATGCTAATTTGGTCTAGGCGAGGCTAGTTTCGTAGCAAGGTTGGGTGGAGAGGTGGAGAAGTATTGATCGTTGGTGTTAAAGTTTGGAAAATCCGTATTTATACCGTTTATTATATACAGGGCGCGATCGACTGTACGCTGTGATCCTAACATACCGGTATGCACTACGTATTCTGGACTTGACGCCACCGCGGCGGTTAGAGCATCAGATGTGGCGACCCTGTTGGAGCCATTTCAAAACTAAATTATGTACAAATGGATGTCACTTGTCGTAGTCCGCGACAATTGCTCCACAAAATAACTTGGTAGTCTAAACCGACTATAGGGAATGTCAGAATATTTGATAGGGTGATAAATTGAAGTGACACGGCGATGGTGATGCGCATGAGTGGATCACTGATATGTGTGTAGTACAGTGACAGAAAATCACAAATCAGAGATAGTTCACCAACATGAGGCTTTATGCATATGGGTAAGGCTTTGCCTGGTCAGGCTTGGAACGTGGACTACGCAAAGATCGGAGCGCGAGGTCGACAAATGGAGGGTTTTTTTCTTTCGAATAGCATGTCTAAACACCAGTAGCAGCCACGCGTAACCTACCATTGCGCAGTATTCGCGATTCCAAGCGCCTATCCATGTCTGTGCCCTTAGAATATCCATGTCCGTGTCCCCAACGCCCCTGGCTGCGCAGATCCTGCCTGTCGACGTGTAATCAAAATATAACAGCGATCTACGACGGCCATATAGAGTATGCAAGAGGGGCCGAGGGCGATAGAGATTGATGGTGCGAGCAGAGGTATTCCAACGGGTCGGACAGCGTCTGCTTTCGCTTTTGACACTCCGTCCTTCTCGTTCGCACTAAATCAATAACGAATAGGCGGGATAGGGTCTGCGCGGATGGTGGAGAGGTCGACTGACGAGTCGAGTGCGTCGTCGATTTCACCGATCAGGACACTGAGATCGACGTATGGTTAGTGTTGAGCAAGATCGGCAAGACACAGACGGACATCATATCGCCTTTGACGAGGTAGAGACCGAGGGGGATCTCCTCGACGCCCTCATCCATGCTGTAGACGCGCTCCTTCGAGTCGGAGAGGACTACGTTTGATTTTTGGTCGTAGCCAGCCATGGTGCCGACGATGGCGCGGCCGTCTTGGAGGATGAGCAGAACACGGCCTATATGGACTCAGTGAGGATTTGTGGGGAGATAAGCGGGAGCGTACGGTCGACATAACCCTCTAGACTGGACATGACGGTGGTGAGAAAAGTGACGGCACGTGTAGTGTGCGGCGTCGTTGTTGTGTATGTCAGACCTGGCTTGCCTCCTACCATCATGCTTGACGAAAAACCCTCTTCCCCTACCGACCTCGAGCTTGACGAGCTCACAAAGGAGACGCACACCCCCCACACACCTGTCCTCCCCTCACCTGGCTCAGCGTCGTCCTCGTCACCCCGTGGCCGTCTCACAGCGTCGACCATCATCCCCATCTGGATAGTACTGTCCTCCAGTGTGATCATCTACAACAACTACGTCTACAACACGCTCGACTTTCCTTACCCGGTCTTCACCGTCACTTGGCACCTCACCTTCGCTGCCCTCGGCACACGCGTCCTTCAGCGCACTACTCGCCTCCTCGATGGTGTGCGCGACGTGCACATGGACCAGGCCACCTTCGTGCGCCGTATCCTCCCTATCGGTGTCCTTTTTTCCGGCAGTCTGATCCTCAGCAACACTGCATATCTCTACCTAAGTGTCTCTTACATCCAAATGTTGAAGGTTAGTGTGTCTATTTTTCTCCATTCATGCCGTCAGCACTAATTATATACACAGGCGTTTACACCCGTTGCTATCCTCCTTATCTCGTGGACGTTCCGCCTCCAGGACCCGAATAAGAAGCTCGCCGTTATAGTCCTGATGATCTCTTCCGGCGTCGCGCTTGCCTCTCATGGCGAGCTACGATTCCACCTCGGCGGCTTCCTTGTTCAGGCCGGCGCTGTTGTCGTTAGTACCCCTTTCTGTATTCTGACCACGCACATGTTCACTCACTCATCTCCTTTTTGTCGATCCTCGTCCTCATCGTGATGCTGTGATGAAAATCCAATTTTCTGTTCTATTTATATCCCACCTCCGCACGACATACTAATTCGGATTAGTTCGAGGCATCTCGGCTCGTGCTCATCCAGATACTGCTGCACAACCTCAAGATGGACCCATTAGTCTCGCTGCACTACTACGCGCCTGTTTGCGCACTCATCAACCTGTGTATCTTGCCTTTTACTGAAGGTACGCTCCCTTCCCTTGCGCATCACGTACTCTGCTCCGTTTCCGTGACGCGTTGCTTACTTCTTTTTTTCTCATCTCTTTCTGATTCTCCTTGGGTTTAGGCCTAGCTCCTTTCCGTGCGCTCTCGGCTCTCGGCCCGTTCGTTCTCATCACCAACGCAGGCGTTGCGTTCCTCCTTAACGTCGCGGCTGTCTTCCTCGTTGGTGTTGGAAGTGGGCTCGTACTCACCCTCGCAGGCGTATTCAAGGTATGCACTTTGTCCTTCGCTGCCGACTTCCCCTACTTCCCGCTTATCGTCATACCATGCAATACCATTGATATCGATCCTTTGTTCTTCCCTTTCCTCCCAAATTCAAATCACGCTAAACACTCCTCTTCTATTCGCAGGACATCCTCCTGATCACAGGCTCTGTACTCGTGTTTGGAAGCCCCATAACACCCCTCCAGGTTTTCGGGTACTCCATCGCCCTGGGTGGTCTCGTACTCTTCAAAACTAGTGGCGGAAAGTGAACACGTGCGACAACCTTTGTAGTACGCTCCCACCCACGCTTTGCTTCGCCGTCATGCTTTCGCTCTTGGACTCGTCTCGCCCTTTTCACGTCAGGCCCGGACCCCAACAAACACCCATAAAACAAACACCCTCCGTTCCTTCACCTGACCTCGTACACTCGCTCCCCACTGTTCCATATTCACGTCTGAAAGACCATATATAAGTATATAATCGTCACCACGCTATATATTCGCAACTAGTCGTCTTCGTACAACCCCCGCCATCGTACACTTACCGGTACATATACATCACGTACATCATGTTGGTCGTCACGCACTCCCCAGCAACCCCTCATCCTCCCCTCCCCCCTAGTCGTTACTTCTCCCCCCTGCGGTTGCTGTCCCGTCCAACCCACACCCGCCCGGCGCAGTGTGCCCTCCCTGATCCCGCTGTCTTCCTGATTCCGGATCCTGATTGATTCTGCTTCCTGCCGGTTGTAAATACCTCTTACCTGCTGAACACTCGTGCATATACACATACATTGACAGTCCACCCAGTACAGTATACTAGACCCTCGCCCCAGGATGCATACCGCGTACGCATGCCATAGAATAGAATGTTTATATATCCAGGCATGCTCCCACCATCGACGTCGACGCTACTTGATAGATTTCATGCACGTTAGGTGGCACCAGTCGCGCGAAAAAAGATAGACATACGCGACTTCCGAGATTCCCTCTAGCCGACTTGAACGACTGACCTCGTCATGACGTATCCGTACTAGTGACGCGCTCTACCACTGAGCTAAGAGGGAGGCTAATGCTACAACGTGTAACTAAGTTACTAATTTGATCCTGAACCTCAGTAGTAACTACAATACTAGTACACTAGTAGAATCACAGCGGCGCACACTACTCTATATAATCTACACTCTACACAACCTTTAATCTCTGTTTCACTAGGTCCCACCCGTGCAACGGGACGCATGCCACACCCAGCTCGTACACGCCCACCCCACGCGCCTCTGCCCTCCCAATATCGTCTTCCCTGCCTACACCGGAGCCCCGCCTGCGCCTCGTAGGCATGCGCACCACCGCCACGATGCGTGCTGCAAACACAGGCGGCTCGGGCTCGGGGACTGGTTCCACAACTTGAAGCTCAATGTCCACCGCCTTCGCCTTGGCATTTGCTCTGGCATGCTCTGCATCAGTCGCAAGCGCAAGCGCTAGTTC